TTAGTTAATGTTTGCTGTGTGAAGATCTCAAAATAAATCTGCACAGAAGTGAGAAATGCATGGAAGGTTGATGTTATAACAATTGTGAGTATCCTCGGTGTAATATCGCTTTGCTGTCAGTGACTCTCAGGATGTAGCGATGATCAGTTCAGTTCTGTTTGATGCACGAAGGATTGGGGCTCAGCCATTCCGCCTCATTCGCAGAATATTACATTCTAATAACGAACTGATCTTAGCGATAATATCTACGAATATACATTCTCTGAAAGTTCGAGCGTGAATGTTTTCTTCACATATGGCAAACGTTACCTTACGGTAAAACTCACAGGCGAACTGTGAAACATTTAACCGTTCTCATTTTTATTCTGAGATCAAATGCCAGTTATATGGCAAACCACAATTGAAAAATACATGAGAAAAACTTATCAATATGGTTCTTATGACAAATAGAAAGGATTTAGACAAAGAGAGGGCGTCTTAATAAAACTACTGTGTACAAGTTTTGGTCTCAACTTCCCCCTTTATCAGAGGTGCAGAATCTACCCGCGTGCGGTAACGGCCGGTTGGGAAAATTTTTGGAAAATTACGGGGTATAGAAAAAACTTTTAGGAAAAATTAATTTTTTCGAGCATACACGCCAAACAGAGAAGCCTTCTTTTTTTATTTTTCCAGCCGGGGAAATTTTTCGAAATTTCCATCGTTCAGGAAAATTTTTCATTTTAGCGGCAGATTCTACACGTCTGCCCTTTATATTAAAAAATTGTTGTGTTTCATTCTTTTTTTGTGACGTATACGGACTTAGTTAATCTGCGAAAGAGATGTGTCTCAAAAGAAAACTTGTCGAAAAATCCGATAGTGTAATATTGTGACTAGCGAAAAAGAGACCTGTTTAGATAAGGGAACAAAGAGCTGAATTTGCTGTGGGCATCCTGTGAATTGACTATCTGACTCTCATACTGATTTTTCCTTTTCAGATAGAGATTATAACATGACACAAGCACGACGAATGCATTGAAATTCGATTGCACTATGTTCTCGAAGTAAAGTCCGAGTAAAACATAGTGGAATCAATCGTAGATAACAAAACGATGACTGGAAAAATGTGAAACTAGTAACATTATCGGACACTATCAAGATGACCGTCCGGACGGGTGGTCAAAGAGGTCCAAAAAACAACAATGACTGGACGCCGTTGCTCTGCGCTAAGTGGCACTTTGCGAACCTCAGTCATACCCGCAGACAGGGCGTCGTGTTTCGCTACCGGACATGTTATTTAAGATGGGCATCGGGACGGTCATCTTGATGGTGTCCGATGGTGATTTGAAATAATTAAAACACTACAGGTGTATAGTCACAACACTAGTCTGGACAGGCGTCGTCACCCGTCTTTTTCTGCGGTATCCAGACGTCGTCATCCCGTCCAAAAAGTGGCACTTTGCCCAGACCTTTTTTGGCCTTAGTTAGTGATGGGCCGTAAGACGCAAGAAGCGTTAATTTTCTGGTATCTGTTCTTTCGTCTCTCGTGACCGGTACATGTAGAGTATAGGTCGCGGATGACGATAAAGTTAAAGGAAAGAGAAAACATAACGTGCGACGTTAAGAAAAATGTTTTTCTTATCGTACGAAACGAAGAAGTTACGTACATTACGCGAAATTCTTAACGTAAGTGAATCATCCTTAACGAAATAACGTAAGTGAGTCATTCTCAGCCTAGGCATGATAGTACACTACTATGAACAAGACGATGTATTTTCTTCCTGTTCTCTTTATACTATTTCATTTCTTCAGTGTAATCATTTGTCCTATAATCCTTATTAATGTTAATTTATTTCTTACGTTAAGACTCTCACATTTCGTTTAGACCTTAAGCTACCATTTTGTTTTTACCGTTTCTTACGTAATATTTTCCTTTTCTCTCCTTTCGTTTAGTTATGAAGTAGGTGAGCTCTAAATTCAGACGTAAGGCACAGAACAGGTCACATTATATTCGAATATAGCGAAATGCAATGCAAGGAATAAACGACTATAGCGATACCGTAATTTTTGTTCGTTTCCTTCCTTTCGCTATCTATCAATCAATACTAACGTCTAACGACTACACGACGGCCCATCACTAGCCTTAGTCATCCGTCCGAGGCCAGAAACAGACCCCACTTTTTCGCCGTCTTTTGTTTACGTGGGCATGCAGTAAAAACCACTCATATTTTAACAAATTTAGGTTATTTTGATGAAATTTTTTGAACAAAATCCTTCTGAAGGTATTGTCTATACAATTATTGTGGGCCTGACTACGAAAAATCATTACGAAAATAATTTTTCACTTAAAAAAATTCAGTGAAAACTTAAGGATGGTCGCAAGATTTCTTAAGTTAAGATGTTTTCGAGAAACTTACTTAGTAAAAAAATCTTACCTAAGTCAAATTTTGCGCTTAAGCAAACTGAAGTCTTTTTGGAAACAGACGCCAGTACTCGTGAGAAAACTACAAGTTAGAACTTGCAAACGTACTTGAAGTTTACTCTCATACATCTAAAAGAAGAGAAAAGTTGATAGCAAGTAAGTATTTTATCTGTGCTGCATGCTGAACATCCATAATAGTTTTGAAAATGAACAGGAAGTACGTTGAGCTTTGAAAGGTTTTCTAGATAGCTTTGGGAATAAGAGAATGTTTCGTACTAATTTCTACTACAAAAAATATGATTAAGCACATAAAAAGGAGTATATATTGATATTTTGAAGCAGTTTGGAACAATTTTGACCGAGTTATGAATTTTTTAATTTTCAGTGATAATAAAAAATCGATTATTCCCTCTAGTATAGGTTTTCACTAGTTTTTTAAGCTTTTTCGAAAAACAAACATTCCCACAAGATTCAGCGTGAACGATAAGCTATGTTTCCATGCGTTTTCAAATTTTAAAATATCAAGAAAATCGGGTTCTCAGTAGTGGCGGCGCCACAGGTGGGCTCAGCCCACCCTAAAATATTTTGAGCCCACTCACAAAAAAATTTTTGGACTACATTACAAAATTCAGTGAGGCCGAGCCAAGGGGGAAACAGCAGAATTCCAAGCAGCTGTGGACTCCCAGACTTACTGAAGCCTGAAGAATCCTATACAAACTTCCAAAAAAAATGGAGGAATCGCTGGGAGTACAAGAATGAATCAGAAAAAGGGATTAGAATCCGATGAAATAAATCCCGAAATTCTGTAAAAATTACTGAAAATGGGGCTAAGCGGAAAAAACGCGGAAAAATTCAAAAAGTCAGGAAAATTCTTCGGACTCAGCGAAGTCACGGAGAATACGAAGGAGTCTCCAGGAGTAGAACAAAATTCGAAAAAAACTGATTGCCGGTGAAATGGAGCCCATATTACAAAAGTCACAAAATCTGTTGTTTCCCCCTTGGGTCGAGCCCACCCTGATCAAAATTCAAGGGGCCTGAGCCCACCCTAGTCTAAATTCCTGGCGCCGCCGATAGTTCTCAGGTATTTATAAATTTCAATAATTACTTATATTATCCGTAAATGTATTGTTAGCCAAACGTTTCGGCTTGGTAAAGCCTTTATCAATGGCACATAATAAGAAAACAGTCAACCACTCCGTTTAAAACTTATTAACAAAATGACCGCGGCCACTGTTCAATTGGACAGATAATAGTAAGATAATTTGTGAAACACTAATTAAGTATAAGAGAGTTACTTAAAATAGCGACGGAAATGAACAATACTTTATATTACTTTCTTTACATGTGTGTTCATTTATAATCAGAGTAGTCCCTGAATTCAATTTACTTCATAAAGACATTTCTATGTTCGAATCGTACTCCGTCTTTGCAAAAAATGAGTATATTTTTGACAATTTTTATTATTAAACGAATAAGTAATGATAAAAGAAGTATAAATAAAAAATGTGATCATGTTGGCCATGTTGTTGATGTTCTAAATAATGACTTATATCTTGAATCCATTCTAATTTTTTCTATTTGTCGTTGTAATTCAACTTGTGCTTCAGGATAATTTTTTAAATCTTTGACTTTTAAAAATAGATGTATCGAGAAAAATATACCAAAGACAAATACCAAAATAAGAGGTAAGAATCTAATGAATCGTAAAACAGGAGATGGTAAATGTATTGGTAGTAAATCTATTGCGCACAATATCCAAAATAAAAATAAACCTAATAATATTGGAAAAAGTTCACTTTTCTTCATTTTCGGGTCACTGTGCTGGAAGAAAGAAGAGAAATCAATAGAAAAATACGTTTTCTTTTACCAACAAACTGACATTTCTAGAACTTTATTTATCTGACTATCAACGAATACCCTATAGGCTATTTTTTTCTGACAGAATAGTTTAGATATCTTATTTTAATTCGACTAAAAAATCCGAAGACTTATTTGGCAAACATTTTTCTATATATGAACATAATCCATGAATTGCCTACTGCAACAGATCCTTAATGCTTTGAACATTGAGAAATAGAAAAAACTTTTACTTTTTTTAAATTGTATTTATAATTTAATATAACGTCTTATTTTTATCTTGATTCACGAATAAGATGTATTATTAGAAACAAAGAACTTTAGATCACAAGGATAAAGAACAAAGAAGAAACAAATTAATAAACCATCAATCGGATGGGAAAAAGGATGATTAACGACAAGAAAACGTTAATCAAATAATCGGAAAGAAAATATGGTTTTAATAGTGAATAAAAAAAAAACATCGAAAAAAAATCAACAAATACAACAAAAAAGATTTATGTATCATTATCTCTTTTATTACATATTTCAAATAAATACACAAACTGTTCTTGGTATAAACACATGATAATAACAGTTTTAAAAATAAATAAATAAATAAATAAATACGAGAAAGATGTGCATACATAAAAAAAAGTAATTATTTTTCAAAATAGACTAGAGAAAAAAAAATAGAAAACGAAAAAAAAGTATCGTTGTGGATATAATATGGCAAGAGGGCGAAACAAAAAAAAAATATTTACAACTAATTCCAATATTCAACAAAATCCTCTAGTATACTTGTTTCAATTTCTTTTATTATATCTTCTCTTGTTGGACTTATCGTTGACATATCACTGCTTTTCACTGGTTTTTGTACCGGTAATGTCGTAGGTACTGATGCTAAATTTGAACTATTTTTCTTCTTTTTACCATCTTTTTCTTTGCCATTATTCTTAGTTTGTTGTACTTGCTGTTGTTGACGCGATGCAAGCGTTGGTGGATGATGATAATAGTGATGATGGTCATATGTATGCATCGAATTTAAACAATTAAAAAAAGGTAGCAGGTCGACAATATGTGTCAAATTTTTTAGGTGAAGTAGTGGACGATTTGTGAAATTCATAGATGGTAAACGTTCACGAACAATCAAAGGCATTGATTGAAACTAAAAGTAAGAGATAGGGTAAAACAATTTAAAACTGTTACTTTTAAAAAGTCATCCACAGTTTGTCGTTACTTTTACAACTTTATGATTAGAAGCAAAAACTGTATACATTTATCATCCTAGACTAGGGCTGCAAACGTTTAGCATTCCTTTTTAGCGTTTTCTTCGAACGTGAACACTAGAGTACGTTGACATTTCTTGAACATGAACGCAAGTGTTCTGGTGAACGTGAACTTTATTTTATATGAACGGTATTGATCTTATGTGGAATGAATAGTATTGCAAACCGTTATATAGCAATTTCAGCTAGTAGTATACCGAGCAAAACAGCTTTCTTCATTACCAGTTATATTTAGTGAAAAATCAACGCTCATTTACTCCCAAATAGGTTACTATAATAAAGGAAAAAGTATGTAGCTACGGAAATGGTTTGAACCAAGGAACTTCGATTCCACTCCAGGAAAAACTATTCTCCTGGTCAGAAAATCGGCGATCTGTTCTTGGAAGAATCAATGGCTATCCTTTTTACTAAACAATAATCTAGTCACTGCCCCGAGCAGACCATCTAATCGTTCACTAGAGTTTCTATTGGTCAGATAAGACCAAGCAAAAATATATATGTTCTTACTACAGTACAAGAACAGAATTTTATATTTACTTCAGACAATATGAACATCGTTTGTATAAAAAAAGCTCACATTCACCAGTGCTTTAGCGTTCACGTTCAAGGAACGAAACATGAACTTTTACAGGCCTATCCTAGACAGAGTCCACTGTCCTTACCTTTCGTTCAAGCAATTTCGATAATCTTGCTGAAAATGCAATAAATGAATCTGTGTTTGTTTTTCGTCCACTGTCTTCGTCAGTAACAAATGCAGAACGAAATCTATAAAAATAAATAGTATAATTCTTTTCTTTTGAAAATTAATATTAAGATTATTTTTACTTACAATTGAAAATGTTGTAATTCCGAATAGGGCATTGCTAACAATACATCAAGTAATTTGCAGGCAAACAAATACATTTTCAAGGCGGGATTTGAACCGTGACTAGGTGGTGCACTTGATACACTTGTCGAAGTCAAATCATTCATTGCTAAACGCTGAACATGAGATCTAAAATGGAAAGTTAAATTTTACATGAATTCTAGACATTTTTTAGTCAAATGCTAATAAAAAAAATGCGTCCGAATTCTAAAATCGAACATAAAACAAAAAAATGATACGTTTTTGTCTAACTCTTACTTTACTTCACCCTCTAAATCGGATAGTAGATCTTGCTCCAATTGTAATAGTACTTGTATTAATTCCGCCAATAATATTGGCCATAGTGACATTAAATTTCTTGATGTAATACGTATCAATAATACACGAAAAAAGAGAAACATTTGAGTATGTAACGTTGGCATTTGCGGTAGTTTTAATAACTCAGTAATTCGTTCTAATATTTCTGGTAACTGTTTACTGTATTGATCTTTTTCTGATGAATATATGACAAATGCAAAACGTTTAACTAACATGGCACGTTGTTCATATTCATGTTCTTTTGATACAAATAAACCGGTTTGTACTGTATTTATTTTTGTTATTACATCCCGAAATGATGTTGGCCGTTCATTGGTAATCATATTGTCGACAATTGTTTTCCATGAATTTAATGATTGAATGTCTAATTGAAAAAAAGATATATCAAATAATTGTTCAAATGCTTCTTTTTTCCATGCTTTTCGTGTATATGAATATTGAGATAAACTTTCCAATAATTGGGATGCACAACGAAATGATGATGCATTAGATGGCACATGAGTTTTAACATAAGGTATAACGTTTGGTACCAAATTTTGTAAAAATGGTATTACTATTTTCTCTTTTTCATCTATTTTATTAAAAACAATATCGAGTAAGGGTGCGGCATATTCGGCTAATATGGATAATCCCATTAGACTGTAATTTGTGTTCGATATATCAGAGGTAATTGCTGTTTGAGACGTAGCTAAAAAAAATGGAGTCTTATTGATCAAATCTTTTGCTCACATTTTATACAAAGTTTTTTAATACTTGTTATATTGTTATAAAAGGTTCTATACTTACCATTGAAATCTGTATTATCTTCTATCATAGTGTTAACAGCATTAGAAGTACCAACAGGAACGTGAGATAATTGTTCATTATTTTTTACCGTTGATCCATCAGTATTTGCTAAACGTACTTGAAGAATTTTTCTTATCCATGTTGTTTGTTCTAGGGATGAGGCAACAATAATATTACAATTCTCAAGTACACGCATTGTTATATCCTTAAACATAAAAATAAATATGAAACAATATATTTTTTAGAGAAAATAATTATATATAGAATATTTTACCTGTAAATCTTTTAAATCACGTTTCTCAGAAATTGGTGGTAATCTTTTTACATAGAAACTTAATATTCTAAAGACAGAAAAAAATATCATTCATGTCTCAATGGATTAGTAATACTATTATGTTACTTTAGAATCAAAAATGTTGCTGGGGGTGAGATTGGTTGAGATAGACATTCTTTAAACATGGATGATAATTGTGGCCAAAAATCGATGGCGACCGTGTTTTGTTGTTGTAAATAATCTAATAAAAATTGTAGACACCAAACATCATAATTTTGCTTCTTCTAGAAAAGTGACAAATAAATATTTCATCAATAGAATATATATATATATAATAGTTCACAATAAATGACATTACTGAATAAAAAAATCGCTAACGAATAATGCTTGATGACAAAATTAAATACATGGAAAAAAATAAGCAGTAGATGGATGGGGTACAATAGGCAAACAGACGAATTGAACATTAAAAAAAGTTGAAGTCAACATTTTCTTTACTTCTTTTTAGAATGTTCATCAAGTTGGATGTCGTAGCTATCTCAACGAAAAAATTATATTTTTCACACTAGAAAAAGTTTCTAAAAACTGTCTCCTCAATACTTCTATCAATACTACCCAGGTCGACCAAAACGGATATCCGTTACGAACCGTCTACTAGACACAGGAATACGGACCGTAACATCATTAAAATAGGGCCGTATACGGCCGTATTTTCACAGTATACGACCCCGTATTACTGTGCTCAGAAACGGTACCGTTTACGGGCCGTATACGGCCCTATTTTAATGATGTTACGGTCTTTCCCATGAACCAACCTGCAAGATCAATTTTTTGAATTCTTTCTGACGTTTTCTTTAAAAGCATCATGGTGATTAAGCAATGATAATTATTCATGAAAAGAGGGTTTACAAGGAAAATATTTAGATATCCGCCTGCTATCAGAAAAATGCCTGCTGTAGGGGGGACGTCAATGATATACATATATGGGTGCGCGACAGAATATGTCACTCACCTTAACATTTCTGTATTAGCCGTGTTTTTTTTTTTACAAGTTGTGCTACTGTGTGCTCATGACTGTTTGTCAATAAACCGAACTGAACTATTTAAAGTTAATTATCCTAGTAAAACTAATTGCCATGGTGTAAAAAAAAAGCGTGGATAAACAGTTAATTTTGTATGTCGATGAAGAAACTAACATGCTAGTAGAGGAGGAACGAATATATCGAATAAAAGCAGATATGTATATAGCAAAGAATACTAGTATAAATCAAAAAACGAAATGATATACCCTGAGCTCACTCTTTTTAACCTTGAGATTGTATAATGATGATAACTGTATAAGCTAAAATAAGTTATACAATAAAATACAATAGATACGAAAATATCATGTTTTGAATACTGTCTGGAAAATGATAAATAACTTAAATATTAATAATTCATACCTTATCTCTTACTGTCAATTGATTTCGAATTAATTCATTCATATGTGGTATCATATCATTAATCGTATAATTTTTAATATTCATAACAATATCAATAAGCGATTGTAATTCGCTAAGATGATCTCTTCTCATTATCAATACTGTTGATGATTTTGGCGTTTGTGCAGTTGATTTTAATCGTTGTTGTCGTTTTCGTTCTCCCCAACATAGAGTAACAGCTGACATAAATGAAACGCCATTATATTTTGTTAATGAACCTAATAGTTCCAAAATTGTTTCACGTATTTGTTTAACATGTTGAGTAGGCCAAGGATTTTTATATTGTTGTTGAAAATTAAGATTTATTGTTGTTCTTATTGTTTGTTCGGGTGATTTAAATACTAATTGTTCTGAGATAGTGCTCCATATAAATAATAGACTCGATAATACTGATGGCATTTGATTTAAAATTGATTGACGAGCATCAGATAAATCACGCTCACTCACACTCATCTTGAAAAGAAAAACAGACAACAAATAACAAAAAGTCAAATAGCTTAACGTAATTTTACATTTTTCATCCAATATTGTGTGAGCGTTACTGCCGACATTTGTAGATTAATTTGTCCATTATCAGTCCCTAATAGACAATAGTTACATATATACGATAAACGTTGAATTAAATAGATGATGTACTCGATAACATCAAAATGTGGTAATAATCTAAATATAAAATAGAAAAACGTGCGAATGATAAAATGTTTCTTTCAAACACTCATAGAGAGTTCAAAAGTAATGATGAACAAACCTTGTTTTAAATCTACTTTTTTGTTGTGTTGAACGCTGATGATGAACTTGAACTACATAGTATAAATTTCTACACATTTGTTCTGCAACAAAACTACTAATCGATTTCAATGATGAACCACAGTGTGGCAGTATTCGGATACAAAGACTAATTACATATCTATGATTTTCAATAAATCTAGTTTCTTTCAAATATTGTAATATTGATGAAAGAAATAAACTTTGATTAACAACTGGCTGATTATCGATAAAACGTAATGTTGTTGTTATAGATGAGCCCATACTTTTTGCAGTTGACATTGTAGCTGCCAATGTGGTTGGTAATATTGAAATGAGATCTGGTTCAAATGAAGATGATTTATTTATTGTAAATAATGACGTTGATGGTAATGCCGATCCGTGTTCTAATATTCGAGGACCAAGTCCAGTTGGTGACACTGAGGCAAGAACATTTGATGCTAAGGTAGCAATTGTTGATGGTTTGTCATTTGATGTTTGCTCAGAACGTTGAGACTGGACTAAAACATGTTCGAGAAATACAATTTCTTCTAATAATTGTAACAATTGTCTTAAATACTGTCGAATCAATTCATTGTATATCGGTTCCATGTTGTAATTTATTATTGCTTTCGATAAGGTTTTTGGTTTATGATGTCGAGACGTTATATTTGCTGATGTTTCAGATGATCCAGTTTGTTGTTGTTGAGAATTCTCTAAATTGAGAAGTTTATTAAAACAGTCGTGTTAAACACCACAAAAAAATAATTTCAGTACGCATGATATGCCATTAATCACTGACGAACACCGGTGTATGTCCGTGTCGATATTTTTCCAATTCCATTCTGTCTCATTTAGTCTGTAACAGAGCCCTGCAAATGACCACTTTTGGCAACCTAACCCGTAAAAAATTTCACATCTTAATCCTAACCTAACCTATAGGTTAGATTCGGTTAGGTTTAATCTGCAGGACTCTGGTCTGTAACTAGGTTTTTATTAATTACTGTTAAAATAAACTTTTAATTACTCAAAGTGCGGTACCTGCCTTATGAACGTGGCACTATCTCGCGAGGGAACATTCCCAGCTGCCCCGGTCCGATTTCGTTCGTTCATGCAGCATCCGATAGGGGGTCTCGAGTAGATAAAAAGCCTAAAAGGATATCGGCTGATGACTCTTTAAGACCCGGTTTTCTGGAAAACCAGTTTTTCAGAA